AACCACTGCAAGGTAATTTTACGTAGTCCTGTGAAGTTTTGTTGAAAACGGTTGAAAAATGTAGGAAATTCGATCCAATATATAAAGAACAGACACACACACACACACACACACACACACAACCTGGGTTTTATAAGTATGATTATTTCAGTAAAAATCATTATCTCCAAAAATTTCTTATCATATAAAATATTTTCTGGTTTGAAATAATCGGCAAAAGGTTGATAAGCCATAAAAAATATTTTTTTCTTTTAAATTTGAAATTGCTTGAACTACTGACTAAACAATGTTGTTTAACCAAAACGAATCTCTGAAGGTGACAGATCTAGAGACTTATATGTAAAAGAATTTTCCATTTTGTTTATCATTTGTTGTATTGCATTTACAACAGAAGAATAAACATTATTATGCAGAAAAATCATTGGTCAACATTTTTTACCCAGAAAATGTTTTTCTATTACATTTGTCATTCAAATGTGTTGGTTGTTCAATAACAGCTTGCTTGTAATGAAAATTTACTTTTGAAATCCAAAAAACAGAAAGAAAAACATGTTTTTACTCCAGTAATGAGAAAATTTTAAGAAAAGTAGGAACTACAAGGAAATTGGTACTTACAATAAAAAAAGATTCATCTGGGACACATAATGAGGAAAGAAGGTCAGGTGAATTTAACCATCACATGACATAATGAAACAGGAAGAAACAAATTTATTTAATGGATTTGTGTAAATGGATGGCAGAACAAAGAGTAAAAAGTTACTTAGAGCAGTAAAAAACAAGAAGTTGTGGAGAGCCATGATTGCCCACATCATGAAAGGAAACATTTCTCTCATGGTCAGCTCTATGTAGCTATTTTTGTAGCTACATCCTGAGTAGGAAATCTAAGTGAATTTAACATAAGCACAAAAGAAACTATTGAAAACAGATGTTTTACTGAAAATGTTGCTTATACAGAAAATCTATAAAGGGAAGAGAACTGTCTCAATTTTTTTCTGTCTGTAGGATGGGTATTCACCTAGTAATAATAATACGTACACATAGACACACACCTGAATATACAAACAGCAGATGCTATTTATGTGACAGAATTACAAATAAGGACTTTGGAATTATAGTGACAAGTTCTGACAGCAACAATAGCTTTTTTTGTTATTGTTAACTGAATAATACTTGCCTGGGAAATTATGTTTCATTGTTTTGTTATTTGGTAACAATTGTGTTTTCTCACTTTTGCAGTTATTTGCCTTCTTGATTCTCACACTTGTCATCGTATCTTTGTGTTGCTCTTTTCAATTTCAAAGTGACATCTTCTTTGGTTGGGTTACTAGTAGGAAAGGAATTTATGTTTTTGTCTGCTTGAGTTTGGTAGAAAGATTAACTAGTCCCTGTAAGACAAGGACAATCATGGCTCTCCACAGCTCCCTGTACCTTTTAGCTCTAAGCAATGTTTGATTATCCTCTCTCTTTGTCCCCATTCTACCATCTATTCATTAAAACTTGTTAGGTAGGTTCTCAATGTTTCCCTCTACCCTTTCAGATCATGGATGATCATGGCTCTTCAGAGCTTGCTTTCCCTTATAACACTAAGCAGTGTTTGATTCTTTACCCCCATTGCCCCCACTCTACTGTCTATTTATACAAACTCATTATATAGGTTACTCAATCTTTCCCTCTGCATGTCATTTTTTCAATATATACTATGAGTGTTGAAATTTCCAAGCCCTCTTTCTGTATGTTGCAAATTTTAAATCTTTTTGATTCTAAGTATAAGTCTCCTTTTTGTTGCTATTTTCTTTAAAACTTCCTCATTTCACACATGTTCAATCCATGACATTCTCTGCATCTGTTTTGATTATCTTCTTCATTTGTAATTGTCCAGCATTTGCTGCCATATATGAAGATAGATATGATATAGCAGTTAAGCTCTCTTTTCTTTGTTTCTAAAGAAATTTTCCTGTCTTAATACTTTGGTTAGTTTCTGGAAGGCAACTTTCATTGTTTCCTGAAGGTGTAACAAATTTATAAATAGCAATGTTTTATGAAAAAATTTTAATATAAAATGGAATGGTCATGGTTTTTTTTTTTTTTTTGTTTTTTTTTTAGTTATGGACAGTGTGCTAAAGGAATATAAATGTATTTTAACTGTCATTTATTTTACATTTTAATATCAAACATAGTGATTTATCTGCTAAAATATAGAAACACAGCAAATGCGATTTTATATTTCAATTTTTGTTTGCTTTTGAACAGTTCATTTTAAGACATTCCACATTATTTTAAAAAAGTTACCATCAAAGTTGCTGCAAGGACACCTAAAGATAACCTTTAATAAGTGTTTGCCAATAATCAAAGTAAAATGAACAAATAATTGATCGCATTAGAGGGAGAGAGTGAGAGAAAAATTAACAGGTAATGTATAGTTATTTTTTTTTTTTTCTTGGATAGAAACTACACATCAAAGCAGATAACATCACCAAGTTGATATGATTTAGTATGTTTCTTCACATAATTTATGTGGAAGACATACATTAAAGCAACTAACATAAACAGGTGCAAATGGTTTTCAGTGCTTGATTTGTATATTTTAATTGTATTGATACTTCTCCCATATATATTTATTTCATTGAATAATATAGATATATTGTGTCTACTTATTTTTATACTGATCCTTTCTAGATGTCTAATCAGCTTCTTGACGTTAAGATGAAATTCATCAAGGAAGGCAGTGTAGTTTTTTAACCAAATTACTCTTAGTGAGATCAAATCATTCCCTGTTTTGAAGTGTGTTCAATACACCATCTACAAAATTTGAATGAACCATTTCTTCATCAAAATTTATGGCAGTCATAGACTATTGGCTGAACAGCTTGACCTTGACAAAGCACCCAAAAACTTTCCAAAACCAGAATTCCACCAACAAAAGATTATAGGTACTGTTTGATGGTCTGTTATTGGCATTATCTATTATAGCTTTCTGGAATCTAACCAGAATATCATTGCTGAAATTTACTACCAGCAACTGGATAGAATGCACATTCAGTTAAGCAAAATTCAAATTGGCATTGGTTAATCAACATGGTTCAGTTCTGGTTCATGGTGATTGATGCCCAATGATGACCACTTTTTGAAGTAGCTTGACAATTTGTTAAGTCAAAAGACATTCCATTGCAAATAAGATTCAGAAACTGCATTCAAAGATTCCTTGGTGTCCAAACTCTTAGAGTTTCATTTGTAAAGGCATAAATAACCTTGTAACTTGATGGTAGAAATGTATAAATGTGCAGGGTTCTTATCAATTGGTTTGGTTATTTGGTTAGATTTTGGAAAGTCATCTGGACTGAGAAATTTTCTGCCATTTTTTTTTTTTTTTTTTTTTTTTTTAATACTAAAGTTCAACTGATAGAAGGCTACAGAGTCACTTAAAGTAAAGGGTTACTGTTCAAATAGTTATGATGAATGAAAGAGGAACTAGTAGGAAGTGAAGTTTATAAGGATATGGAGAGATAAGAATTGTCCTTTGACATGAAGACATCAGGATTAAAGTATTCAAGGAATTAACCATGTGGAAGAGTCACAAAGTGGCAGTTCTTGGCAAATAAACTGTCCAAATAGAAATTTCTTGTTATATTTTGAATAGGTTAGCTCTGGGAGTGAAGAATGGCAAATGTGCTTGAGCAAGAGTCTGCGACAGGGATTAGCTAACACTTTAGTAAACTCAATAGTCTCCTGGGACTGACAGATATCTGCTTCTATATATAATGGCTCGCTATTTTTGTTTTCCAAGCATGCCCATTCTACTATGGTGGCTAGCCAATCCCTCTTGCAGACGCCTGCTCAGACACATTTGTCTTTCTTCAACATTGCAAGAGCTAACCTGTGGTTCATACTGCAACTATGCTGAGCAGACTCCAATTTCTGTTTCTGGGACAGAGCACATAGCATAACATAATCAGTAGTTGAACAATTCCCGTAGGTTTGAACCCTCCGTCATAATGACTTGTGACTCTGTGCTAGCACTACCACCAACAGCTTCTGAAAAGATTTTTTTCTACCCAGTTTCATTCACAAGATTTGAGTCACCCTGTAGGAACCAGACAAGATGTCTGTAGACAGGGTCAGCAGAACATCCATAGATTAAACAGAGGATTTCTGAAGGTTATCAGGATCACCAATCACCTCATCAAAGCTGGTGAGATAATAACAACAAAAACAAAATGATCACATTTATCTGCATGTAAATTATGTAAATATTAGGTTGTTAGGAAAATAATGTTTGCTTCTAATTGTGTTAATAGTTACACAAAAATATATTACTCATACCTAATAATTATAGTATCCTCTAAGTTAATGTTATATCAATCTCTTACTGAATTTTGTTTTTGAATATGTGACACTCCCTGTGAAAAATGAATAGTTGGTTGGAAAATACTATTAGGTTGTCTGGAAAATAATGTCCAATTTTAGAATAAACTTTTTATGTTCTAATGTATCGTTATAACAGTTTTGCAAAAATATATTACTCATTTCTAATGATTAAAGTGTCCTCTTTGTTAATTTTATATCAATCTCTTTCCTAATTCAACTTAAAACTTTATGTACACTCATCTTGAACAGGAAAAAAAGAAGTGATGTGTTCACTTTTTTGCAAGCTCAGGCACATTTGTGTTTGTTTAATAACTACAGAGCCTTTTTTTTTGTTTTATGCAAATCCAACTTTTAATGGTAAGCATAGAATAAGATTTGTGTTTGTTTGGTTTGTGCTTATAAACAGCTACTCTTTGATTAACTGCACATGTTTAATTCCAAGAATAAAACATTTTGGTACCAGCTACTGTAATATACAGAACCTCAGGAAATTCTCTCTTTATCTATATTGAAATATGGGCATATAACCTTGATTGTTGGGATAAACTGATTAAACCATTATATTGAGAATTACTGAGAAAAATGGTCTGAAAGACTCTAAAACTACATTTCTTTCTTTCTCTCTTTCGGTTCCAATGCAAGAATTTTGCTTTTCTTTTGCAGATATTTACATCAATGAGATACCTGTTGATTACCAGGTGCCATTCTCTTGGGAAAATGAAGTTCTGCTAACAGATAGTAGCACAGACCTAACTGCTGAGTTCTGTGAGCAAGGCTACGAAACCGCACCAACTCTCCCCTCTCGTTCCCCCAACCGCCCTCTGCTGTTGCCACCACCATCACATCAAGCGAGACCACCCCTGCCTCGCTATGACACGGACTACACTCGCTATGGCTCCTCCCACTCGGTGCATAGTGTCAGTTTATCATCAGAATCTCTGGACAACTGTCATGGCATGCGCCAATCTAACTCGAGGGTGCAATTGTTATCATCAGCCTTCAATAGTGAATCGAGGGCAAAGATAAAGGAAGCTATTCTGAAAGGCCGGGATTATCTTATGACGAAAGTTCAGGATTACCAGCAGCGTATTCGTTCAAATATGAATAACAGACAGCGTGACATGCCAAACAAGTGTGCCTGTGAACCTGACCCTCACAGTCTTGGCAGGCGCGACTGTTCACATTCAACTGGTAATTTCTGCTCCACATACAAGGACATTTTACCAAGTTATGAAGAGTTGATGCAATTGGAAAGACCACCAGATACAATGACTGGTAAGCCATCATTTTGTTGCATGTTTTCTTAATAGTCCTCAGTCAGGATCTGGGATTTCAATCTGGAATTAAATTCAGAAACAATTTGGGGTAGTTAATACATATTTTAGAAAATTAAATTTTAGCTTTAAATTAAAACTTTTATTGCAAAACAAACAAAAAAGAATATATGATCTGAATCCTGTTCTTTTATTGTCCTTTCTCCTCACTAAAGTCTTTTCATTCTTTTCCACTCCTAGTAATCCCTTGCATCTTAGTGGCGTTATCACCTTGCTTGGCAGTGAAATGATTAAATAAAGATATCATTGTTTCTATTTTTGTATCTTATTATTGGCTGAACCGAGGAAAATTTTGCATGTATTAACAACTCAAATTATGACTGTCTCATAATGAACTCTTCCCTTCAAAGTCTGTCAGATACAATGATGGTGGAAGCAACTGTTTTGCATTTTCATAATAATTGTCAGTCATGACTGGCGCTTTCAGTATAGAATCAAAGTTGGAAACAATTTGGGTTAGAGTGAGTAAATTTTTACTGTATTCAAAAGTTAAAAATAAATTCATCTATCTATCATATATATATATATATATATATATATATATATATATATATATATATATATATGTATATATATATATATATATATATATATATGTATAATTAAGTTATGAAAAACTTGGTAATCTGTATCGGTAATCCCAGGAGGATGAAATCCTGAGAGCTCAATGTAAATCCAGAGCTAATATTTTAAAGAAAAACAGACAACTTTAAGGTTCTATTATAATAATTTATTTCACCAGAGCCCTTTTAAAGGACGCTGGATCATCAGATAGCACTTCCAAAAAATGAAACGAAGAATGAAATGAAAATTGATGGGTAGTGTAAGTTTTTGTAATTTAACAGAGAGTGTAATAAGGGGTAGTTAGAGAGACATGGTAGAGTTTAGGGAGGGTTTAATTTAATATCTATCTCAATCATACTTAGTATTGGGGGAGGAAGAGTGAGAAGACCTTGACCTATTTAAACAGTTAACTTAACGGAAGTGATATATTGAAATGGGCGGGGAAGAAGAAAGAAAAGAAAAAGGAAAAAAGAAAGAAGAGGGAAGTAAAGAGAAAGAGGCTGTAAATGAGTTTTACATATGGAGGAGATGGGTGGTAAGTTTTAGCAATTTATGTAAAGAAATAGATTTTAATGTTTGATAGTAATTTAGATGTCTAAAAACACCTGAAGAAATTAATTTGATGCTTGCTAGCAATTTAAATATTTAACTTTTTTACAAATAATTTAGGGATTTAATATAAGTTAAATACTGTATTTCTTAACACATTCATAGAGAACATATTAAAAAAAAGAGTTTTAAACTATAACAGTTTGTTTACCCGACCAATGTAAAAGACAGTTACGGTAACATCTTTATCAGTTTGAATCTAATTCATGAATGTAATTTGTAATTATTTTTAGATGGGTAATCTTTCTTACTTAAAATTTAGGTTTCGAATTAAGATGGAGTAATATTTGAAGGTAATATTAAAGATTTTTTTTTTTTTTTCATATATATACCACATATATACTTATGCAAATCCTACATATACATATGTTCATTTACATGTGCAATTACACACATAGGCACACACATGTATTGATATACACAGGTACCTGTGTTTATATCAATACAATTTATTCATACATAAATTACATATACATACATTTACAAATAATTACATATATTTATATTTAAATTTTTTCTTTAATTTCACAGTTAATGTTTAACATTAGGTGATGACTTAAGTGTTTAAATATCCAAATATTTCTAATTTAATATTTTACTATCAATATTGATAGTTAAATATTGATATATTTAAATTTAAATTAAATTATCAATTTAAAATGAAAATACCTCCAGATGATTAATCTCACAATTCTAATTAGAGAATATTAAAAGAGAAAGTTTGTCTATTAGTTTAAGGAAATATTTTCTTAAACTAATAGACAAACATTTTAGAAAAGATGAACTATTGAAAAAGATGTTCAACAAAATGAATTTAAAAATTAGTTATTCCTGCATAAGCAATGTAGAAAAAAATTATTAGTTCTCACAATAGTAAAATTATAAGAGAATTTCATAATAATCAACTACAAAAAGATCTTAATGCAAACCAAAAGAACACATCTACCTGTAATTGCAGGGAAGGATCCGTTTGTCCAGTAGAGGGAATATGCATGGCAGAAAATGGAATACGGAGCTACAATTTTCCCCAAGGAAGATATTAAACAGAAAAAGATATACATCGGAATATCGGCAGGAAATTAGAAGCAACATTTTTATAACCTTCGCCAGTCCTTCACAAATAAATCTAAAAAACACCAAACAGGACTGTCAAAACATTATTGGGATTCGTTGGAGAGCAACTTAACCCCACAAGTATAATGGAAAATCGTCTCGAGGGCTAGAACACCAATAAATTTCAGAGACCGATATGACTTGTGCATAAAAGAGAAGATCCTAATAATAAAGCATAAAGACCCAGACATATTACTGAACAAACATAACGAGTTAATTTTTAAATGTAGACATAAAAACTACCTCAATCTAACTAAATATATTTAGAAATAACTATATAGAAAGGAAAATATTATTTTTAGATTTAAAATGAATGTATGAACACATGGATGCAGATGCATAATCGTATGTATACCAAAGTGTAGATGAATTTGGACATTGATATGTGATTTTATGTATGTACGTATGTATGAGCATTTTGGATAAGGGTGTATATATGCATATATGTGTATGTATGGAATGTAGGCGTGTGTGTGTGTGTATATATATATATGTATATATATATATATATATATATATAGTGTCATGGATATAAAATTGTATGTGGTCTGTATGTGTGTATATGTATATAGATGTAAATATTTGAGAGTTAATGTGTGAATATATGTAAAATATAGTAATATAAATACATATGCATGTATGGATGTTTATGGGTACGGATCTGTTTTTTATATGCTTATTTATATATATATATATATATATATATATATATATATATATATGTATGTATAGAAAGTATTCCAATGGAAGGACATAAAGTTATTTTATTGAAGTTTTATTATTACTCTTATTAATATTTAATCTCACTTTCTCTTTTAATATTCTCTAATTAGAATTGTGAGATTGAATATTTATCATCTGGAGGTATTTTCATTTTAAATTGATAATTTAATTTAAATATATCAATCTTTAACTATCAATATTAATAGTAAAATATTAAATTAGAAATATTTGGATATTTAAACACTTAAGTCATCACCTAACGTTAAACATTAACTGTGAAATTAAAGAAAAAATTTAAATAAATTTTAAAATTAATATATGTAATTATTTGTAAATGTATATGTATATGTATGTAATTTATGTATGAATATGTATAGGTACCTGTGTATGCCTATGTGTGTAATGGCACATGTAAATGAACATATGTATATGTAGGATTTGCAAAAGTATATATGTGGTATATATATGAAAAAAAAAACAAACAAAATCTTTAATATTACCTTCAAATATTACTCCATCTTAATTCGAAACCTAAACTTTAAGTAAGAAAGATTACCCATCTAAAAATAATTACAAATTACATTCATGAATTAGATTCAAACTGATAAAGATGTTACCGTAACTGTCTTTTACATTGGTCGGGTAAACAAACTGTTATAGTTTAAAACTCTTTTTTTTAATATGTTCTCTATGAATGTGTTAAGAAATACAGTATTTAACTTATATTAAATCCCTAAATTATTTGTAAAAAAGTTAAATATTTAAATTGCTAGCAAGCATCAAATTAATTTCTTCGGGTGTTTTTAGACATCTAAATTACTATCAAACATTAAAATCTATTTCTTTACATAAATTGCTAAAACTTACCACCCATCTCCTCCATATGTAAAACCCATTTACAGCCTCTTTCTCTTTATTTCCCTCTTCTTTCTTTTTTCCTTTTTCTTTTCTTTCTTCTTCCCCGCCCATTTCAATATATCACTTCCATTAAGTTAACTGTTTAAATAGGTCATGGTCTTCTCACTCTTCCTCCCCCAATACTAAGTATGATTGAGATAGATATTAAATTAAACCCTCCCTAAACTCTACCATGTCTCTCTAACTACTCCTTATTACACTCTTTGATAAATTACAAAAACTTACACTACCCATCAATTTTCATTTCATTCTTCGTTTCATTTTTTGGAAGTGCTATCTGATGATCCGGCGTCCTTTAAAAGATCTGGTGAAATAAATTATTATAATGGAACCTTAAAGTGGTCTGTTTTTCTTTAAAATATATATATGTATATATATATATGGTGTTAACAAAACACTGCTCAATTTTAGGAAATGAGTTTCTTTAGCATAACTAATTTTAAAAAATTTCTGATGAAGCTAAAGTAAAAGGGAAATGTGTTAAATTTATGTTTTCTATTTCTTCCTTATTCTGTCATATTTTATCTCATATTAAGGAGATAAGTAGCATGGTTACTTACCATATTGTGCACTTTCACCTGTGGATCTTCAGGTCTGTTATTTTGATTATCCTAGCATTTATCGGCTTGAAGATCTTGAAATGTACTAGCAAATAAGTCACCATGCTACTTAACATATACTTGTGTATAAGTTGACTTCATATAGAGTGAGACCCCTGAATTTTTTTCCATGATTTTTAACCTCTTCCAAAAAATTACCTATGTATAGTGTGACCCCTCTGTTTTTGTGTAAAATCTGATCATAAAAACTCATGCTATACTTGAACATATATAGTATCGTTTTAATACAATCTTAGATTTCCCTGTTTTAACATTGGGCACTTTTTGTTTTGTGTTTTTACAACTTCTAATCCTGTGGGTCATTAACATTTTATAGATAATATATATATCCAAAACATTTTTTTCCACTTTGTCATAGATTTTCCTAAAATATATATCTTAATGATGGCCTGAAGTTTGCATTCAAGCATGAAACACTGTCACCAC